AGGGAAATTATTGGAAGAGAACTTCCCTATTGCGTAATTCTGAGTTATTTTTTCATAGTTTATTTTCTTTTTGATATTTTAAAAATTTCTTTTCAGTATTTGAAACTTCATGGCTTACTCTAGGTATGTCTAAACTCACATTTTCTTTACTTTAAATTTTAAGTTAGTTATGGAGGGGAAAGAGAATTTGCAACGAAGAGTTTCTCCCGTGGTATGGTGTCCTCTTAAACGAAATGCTCGCTCGAAGCATTTTACAGGCAAACTGTTTCGCCCAAAATGAAAAAAAAATTTTCTTTAATGAAATGTATTAATTTTTCATAGCGCGTTAGCCATTTAATTCAAAATAAAAGCAAAAATATTTAAAAGATAATAAAATTTAAAATTTTATTTCAAAATGAATAAAGTTCTTTTTTTTCCTTTCGAAATTTGTTTTCACCTTGCGCGTATGTTATTTAAGGTTATAGACCTTCCATTTTAGTTATTCATTACCGTTTCCGCGACGAAAAAAAGAAAAGAAAAAAAAGAATGTGTCTTTCTTCCATTTTTTCACATGACAAGAATTCTAAAGCACAGTTCTGGCATACACAATTAGAACTTATTTCAGTTAACTCTTCGTCTCACGATAACGGACCCTCCCGCATGTCTAATTCGCTAATGTAATGAGTGCATTCGTTGATATGGCAACCAATATTTGCTTTGATAAGAAAAGAAATCCAGACAGATTTTTACACGGATAACAAATTGCATTAGAGGGGATCATGAATTTAACGTTAAAACAGCATTGCTTCGCTAGAAAAAAACACCTCTAACAGGAAACATAACAGTGACTGTATAAAGCAGGGAATTCTAACTGATGGGGGAATGGGGGGAACAGGGAATATACCGGGGTTTGGGGGATAAACAATAATATAAAAGCTATAATAATAAGATAAAACGGTAATATCATAAAATAGAAAGATAATTACATAATTTACAATAATGATATAAATTTTTTTTATCGTCAGGCGCTGAACACTCATTTTTCGAATTGGAAGATATCTGAAGTGCTGCTTTTTAAGATTATCCGGTGGGCACTTGTGAACCTAAGTCACGGAGGCGAGCAGCATTGGCCACGTCTCACCACCACAGGTACCCGTTTATAGGGGGGGGGGAGGACATTCACACATCACAAATCATCCATGCCCTGAGCGGAATTCGAACCCTCAACCACTGGCGGCTATCTATAATAATAATAATATAAAACGATATTATTGAAATTTATATTCATAATATAAAAATTATAATCATAATATAAAACGATAATATAAAGATAATAAACATAATATAAAACGATAATATAAAAATTATAATTGGGTATAATATAAAAAAAACACAACTACTTCCACTTAGTAGGAATAACATTTACCATGACGCAATGCTAAATTCTATGCCACTATCCACATAAATGCCACTATCCACATAAATCAATTATTAATCAAAAATCGAATATCAATTACTTTTCTTTATAATGCAATAAAATCTGGCGAGCAGCTATTTAAACGATCAAACACTTCGTTTGTTTATTTGTGGCTTGAAGTTAGGCTCGCAGAAAATGCCGTTCATGGGTTAAATTTAGTAGGAATAACACAACCTGTGACGTAGGCTATAGTATACCCAATTATAATATAAAACGATAATATAAAAATTATAAACATAATATAAAACGAGAATATAAAAAATATTATAATAATAAAGTACTCATTTCGATTCATCGATGAAGAGTTTACTTTCTCTCATATCGTTTTAGGTGAGTGTTTCTATGCGTTTTTTCTCCCTCTCTTTTTTTCGCGCCTAAGAGCGTCAATTCCTGTAGACTAGTAAGTTTTATAATTTAAGGATATTTTTTTACAAGGATATGTTGTCGTATAAAAAAGCGCTTTTCAGAGAATAATATGCTATGTGAATAATTGTGTTATTCATGCCTGTTAGGTTGAAGTTCATCTTTCTTAAGTCAGTACCCACGAAGATAATTATGGTGATGTAAAAATGTTTTGTGAAAGTTCCACAGTTTTGTAACTCAAAAATGTAAAGATTTTTCAATTGTTTACATTTAAGATTCTATGCAAAATATTAATTATACAGGTGATACTATACAGCTTTATTGCTTTTTCGCGGCTGACACCGTCTTGCACTTGTTTATGTTCGTGTATCAGTTGGTTAACATTGTAAAGCAATACGTTAAAAATAAATACAAATATTAAGTCTATAAAAAATCTCATAAATAAGAACATGCATGTTTGAATATATAAGTATCGCATATAAACTCGAGCAGAACATGTAATTATTAAAAAACTAAATTGCGTCTAATAATTTGTTGTAATTATTATAATAAACTAATATAATACCTGATATAATAAATATTCTATATTTATCTAATTTATCGTCTAATTTATCCAATCGTCAAAATTATATTATATATCGTCTAATTTAACCAATTAATACACGAACGTAAACAAGTGCAAACCGGTTTCAGTCGCGTCAAAATAATAAAGCTGTATAATATCACCTGATAATTAAGATTTCACATAGAATCTTATAGTACGTCTAATAATTTGGAGAGGGACTGTATATGGCATACACTTGAAAGGTGTAGCTTTCTCTTATATAGAAAAAGCTTTAAAAAATACCGTTGTACTAATGAGAAAACCCAAGCAAAAGAAAACAACAATTTATATTTCATATTTTCTCCATTTTGCTTTATGAAATGGTTAAATTATATTAGATAGTTTAATTGCTAGTTTCTCATTATGACATGAAGAGCGGGGTTTTTATTATCAAATGATGAAAATTTTAGTTTAACTTTACGTAACCTTTTGTAGTGAATGTAAAAAATAAAATGAGAGTTACGAATACAATTTTATTAAAACGATACAATTTGAGAGCAATTTTCTTTGTTTCGCCGTCATGATTTGTGGTGAATTTATTGGCCGAACGTCCTCGGCAATGAAAAATTTGTTTTGATGTTGGCACGATAATAACATTAGATGTTATGCAAAGGTTTCTCGAGTAGAAAAATGTCAGATGGGAAAATTATCTACGTGTTTACATTAATATTACAAAGTAAAATTATTTTTCTTTATAAAATATTCAATAATTGTGAACTTTGTTATAAAAAATATATTATATTTCACTATTATATTACCCTAATGCTAAGTTTTTAATTTTGATTATTATTCCTATTTTTTTTTCAAATTTTTTTTTTAACAGTGGTACAATCGGCAGTGTACCTTGACTTGCTAAACAATGCTGTTCCATATCTGTTCTGAACTAAAATTTTAAAACTTAAAGTTGTGTTTCTCACTATAAAGTACTCCTCGAGCAGTGGTGGCACAAGGGATAGAGCATTCGCCGTTCAATGAGGTGAACCGGGTTCGAATCCCGGCAATGGCTGTTCGATACGAATTTTCGCACCCGGCTCGCACTGACCACAGTGATGACGTAAAATATTCTCAGTGGTAGGCAGATAATGGGTTAGAGTCCCCTTGCCGTCAGGATAACATTGGGAGACTCTCGTGGTTTTCCTTTACATGTAACGCAAATACGGGTTAGTTCCATCAATAAGTCCTTCATGAAGGCAAAATTCCTCCCAATACTTGATCCAGGAGTTCTCTTGTCTTCTGTATAGGGTTCAAAATTACGAGATTACGGAGTTGACCGTTAGTAGTGGTAAACCCCAAAAATTGGGTCGGCTGTTCAACGACGGTTATAATATAAAATAATCCCGTAATATTATCTTTTTGTATAACATTTTATGCCAAACATGTTTAAATCGGTATTTAATATTATAAGTGCAGCTGGAATCGAGAGAGAGAGAGAGAGAGAGTGAGAGATTTACAAATATAAATCGATGAAATATACAGTGACTATTTAACTGGCGTGCTCATGTTATTCGGATGAATTACTATTGTACTTAAAAACATATTTTTACGGCTTGACCCGACGTAAGGAAAAACCTAGACTTCGATGAGTAGTTGATATTGAATATAAATGCTTAATTCTAGGTATTAAAAAAATGGAATACAATTACGTCAAGAAGAGATGCCTGGAATGAAGAGGGCCATGGCTCACACAGAACTGTCTAGCTAGGGACAATGATGCAGAACTGGAAGCAGGGGCAAATTTTTTTTTCAACAAAGGAGCGAAGAATCACCACTATCTGATGCGATAGTGCAATTTAAGTGTTGTATAAAATATTTTTTATTTATATATGTTTGACAAAAAGACATTTATTGAAAAGCCAGATAAAATTCTAATTCTAATTTAACAATATTATAAAATAAACTCTTAATTTATTGATAAAAATACGTCAAAAAACGATGTTATCTTTGCAATCGAATTTTCTGATTCAAATGACTTTCGGATAATAAAGGTACCACTGTAAGGTACTACAGTAGTGAATTTTTTTCCTCACGAAAATAATATTTAAAAGAAAAATAAAGAATAAGTATTTATTATTAACGAATTTTTATGAATCTTATTATCTCTATTTGTAAGGAATTTTTCCTTCTCAGACCACGTTACTTTTGGATGTCTTCGTAAGCTAATTGAGAAGAGAGGAAAAAAAAAAACATATTTACAAAAAAATACTACTTATATTAAAAAACGAAACAACTAAAATATTCTATTTAATTTGCATATTCTTTGAAAGTAAGAGAATGTAAAGCTTTCATTTAAATTTTATTAATTGAAAAAAAAAATTAGATCACAAATTTACTTCATCATTATTTCAGACGAATTTCGATAAGAATAATTTTAATTTATACGAACATCGTCTCTTTGCAGAAGAAAAAAAGTCTCTTAGTGAAAAATTGTGAGAACGACAAGAACAATTACAGAAACATAACTCCATTTCAACAAGTTCTTGCTTTCACTATAACGGCTTTTTTCTACTCAGCGTATCGTTGCAATGATGGAATGGATGTGATAAATTACGATTATTTCTTTTCAAACAATTAATCGCCTGCTCATTCGTTCGATTCCTCGTTTTATACGCATTCAAAACGTAACACCAGGTGCTTTTCGTTCGCTCAGGTAAAGCTATTAATTTAATAAACTTGGAAAGTGACGTAAACTGGCATGAATAAGAGCTGGTCACGTGATTTCCGTTAGGGAAAAACGATTTCTCATTGGGTGAAGAGAACGTGTGTCATGAAAGCGCAAAAACGCAAAAGATCGATATTTTATTTTATACGACTCCTCTTCGGAGAAGTGGAGAGCTTCAGATATTAATTCCTTATGAATTTTAGAACACATCGAGAGCTCTTTTATAGTTTTTACCAAATTACCTCTTCCATATTATGATTTAATTAATATAGATATGTGCTATTTAAAGTGCCTTGGAATTTTCGTCTTTTGTGATATAATTTTTTTAGTTTCTGCACTTTTTAGGACAGTATGATAACGATGATTTTATGACGTAAGTGTTAATATTTATAGTGCATTATTAATAATATTTTCAATAAAAACCATAGTGTCTAGTGATTTTAGTTATATAGAACAATTTTCATATAAAATAACTGTCTAAACATAGAACAATTTATATTAAAATTTGAATAATCATGTTAAGCAAATGTATGTGAAAGAAAAACATGTTGGGTTTTTAAACGGTAATGTTGATGTTTTCTTTCTTTCTTTTTTTTTAATTGTATAATTTATCCGCAAAGGTAAAAAAGATATAATACAGAATCATTTTTTTCTCCGTTCTTTTTTACTGACACTTAATTCATTCGTCCGAAATTTTATTTAAAATAAAATCGTTTTCATTTAGGTCTTTTGGATTCAAAATAGCTTAATATAAATTAAGTTCATGCATTTTGGGACTTTTATTGTTAGTTGTATTGCTAATTTTATTTATAAAGATATAATACAGATTTTGTTCTAATATTGTTTTTTTTTTCATTCTTTTTTTACTTACACTTAATTCATTTGTCCGTAATTTTATTAAAAAAAATTGTTTTCATTTAGGTCTTTTGGATTCTGAATAGCTTAATATGAATTAAGTTGATGCATTTTGGTAGTTTTTTTGTTAGTTGTATTGCTAATTTTATTTCGCTCATAATAAATAAACAAAATAAGCCGCGAAACTGAAATGACAGTTAGTAATTCTGTAACTGTTTTAATACGAAACTTCAAAAATTGTAAATAAAACTTGGTGTATAACATTTACAAGTACTTCATTAAAAACTCAAAAGATTAATAGACTGCGTGTGCATTTAAAAAAGCAATAACCAATAACAGAAATTTCTCCTCAAATTGAAATTCGCAATAACTTTTAAGCCGTTACAATATTATGAAATCCGTTGAGAACAATTAAAATATTACAAAATCATTAATCATTTTATAGTTGGTTAAAATTATAAAATCGTAACTTTTCATAAATAATTTTTTTTTTACAATTTTTGAATATTTAGATTGTGTGTATTGTAGTTTTAATGTCTTTCGATATTATAATGGCTATCATTATTTAGTGTACTTAATTTTATGGAATTATCATTGTTTTATCCTAATTCATCATTATTATTGTACATATTGCACTGCCTCTTATTATCATTTATTTCCCGAATGACTCACCAAGGAACAAAAAAAAAAAAGAAAAAGAAAGAAAGAAAACCAAACAAAAACATTCTCTCCGTTTTATTCTCTATATTTAATGAAAGGGTATCTTCATTGCAATAAATCTTTCATTACTTTTTAAATTTTATTAACTATAAAGGTTAAAAGAAACGCATCTAAATATCCAGTTCAAGTTTTTTTTTTCCAGGTAGAGTAGAAAGTAAACAACACAAAGAAAATATAAACAGGAAAACTTTTGCGATCTTTTATAGAACATCATTACTAAATTTGATTTTAGTTTAAGAAACATAACTAATTTTTCCTGTTTTTCTGATATTCTGATTATTTGTTCGTAATTGCTAGCCATTTCATCCAATTAGTTATATATTAAGTGAATTTTTTAACGTAATTATGTTGCGTTTAAATAATAAGTTGTTAAAATCGAATTTTTTTTAAAAAATTCCTTCTGATGCGTCTCAACTTTTAATTCGCTTTTTCTTATATTGATTTAGTTTATTATATTTCAATGTTCTTTGATGATGTTTGTTCAAAGTTGATGCTTTGATCTGCTATTAAATATTCTAATTCTTAGAATAACATCTTTTTGTTTTTAAATGCACAAGTTTATATTTAATACTTGTTAGCGATATATTTCAAATGGAATGTTTTTAATTTTTCACCATAAGTTAAATATATTTAATACATAAGAGACATATTTTTACCTTTTAAAAAAACGTTATTGAATTTTTATGCCGGTTTCACATTTGTGCAAATTTTAACTTCATTAATCATTAATTTAAATCTGTGTGTCCTAAAAGATTCTGTGGAATCGTAATTCCTTGGCATTCATTCCGTAGTACCTTAGGGAGGGTTCCACGGAACTTTTTACTCATTTTCAGAACACGAACTCTTTCTTTACTGTTTTTTTTAAAATTTATTTATTAATTTTTTTACATTTATTATTTTTTATATTTATTATTTTTCATATTTATTATTTTTCATATTTATTAATTTTTTTTAAATACTTATTTTATGTATAAGGTGTTTTGACATCGTCTTTGATTTACAGGCACTGGGAAACCTTGCCAAAAATGAAAAAAAGAATAAAATCAGTTAATTAAAAATCGCAGAGTTGTTTTTAAATGAGACAAAAATATTAATCAAAATTAGGCGAATTGTTAGTGAAGTTAGTCAATTTAAAAAATGGGTTCAAAATAATGAAAATCTTTTTTACTTTCGGAAACCGTAAAGACAATGTTTGGCACCGTTTTTGTTTTTGTTTCGTTTAAACATTAATTTGCGACTTGCAGTGTGTTATTACAGCCCAATTTCTGTCAATGTTCATAAAACATATATCTAGACTGAACATTGCATAAAAGCCTATATTTCAAAATGCGATTTTTTGTACTAAAAGCTTTACTTATTTGCAAAAAATAAATTCTTACTTTTTCGTTTAATTAGTATGATTTGATGATATGCGGTTAAAACCATACATTTAAAACCTATTTTTCAAATATGCAAAAATGCATAAAATAATAAGCATTTTAAATTTTCTTAAATAACTTTCAAACGGTTGTAGTTAAAATTAATGTTGATAGAATATAAGTCTCTTTAGGTGGTCTCTATACAAATTATGATTAACGTTTCTTTAATAAGACACGAAACCTTCAGGATAAAATTCAAAAAAGAATTTTTTTTCTTCAAAAATTTGAATTGCTCACAATAATTTGTATTTTTTTTTCCATAAATTGTAAATACTTGGGTAGTTAGATTAATTTTTGATATTACGTTAAAGTTAGCAAAATAGTTCAAATATTTACCCATAGACATAAAATAATAAGAGGAAAGCTCATTTGCATTGGATGCCTGTAAGTGACGTCATCGTTGGTAATTCGTGGCATTTTTCGATTCTGAAGCGAATCAGGTTTGACACACGCGTGACGTCCCTTACAAGTATTTAATTAAATCTAATATAAATCACATGGTTATTTTATTCGGTGAACAGCCGATCCAATTTTCTGGGTTTACGACTACTAATGTTCAACTCCGTAGTCTTGTAATTTTGAACCTCAAGCCAGAAGACAAGGGAACTCCCGGATCAAGTATCGTGAGAAATTTGCCTTCGTGGAGGACTTTTTGATGGAACTAGCCTGCATTCGCGTTACGTGGAGAGGGAGACCAGGAGAACCTCCCACGGTTAGTCTGACGGCAAGGGGACTCTTACCCATGATCCGTTCACCACTGAGGATATTTTAAGTCAGCATCGTGATCGGTACAAACCGGGTGCGGAATTCGAACCCGGCACATCTCATTGGGAGGTGAGCGCTCAATCCCCTCACCACGGCTCTTCAAAAGTTATTGAAAAAAAGTGGAAAAGGGTTTAAATTTTTTTCTTCTTATTTTTGCATTTATTAGTTTATTTATTAGACAGGGGCGTCTGCAGAAATTCTCTCAGGAGGAGGGGGAAGGAGAAAATTCAACTCTAAAAAATTTGCCTTCGTGGTGGACTCTTTGATGGAACTAACCCGTATTTACGTAACATGTAGAGGAAAACAGATAAATGTTAACCCGGCGGCAAGTGCCGTCGCGCTAATATTTTGATTTCGCGGAGGTTTTCGTGGTTTTCCTCTCCATGTAACGCAATTGCGGGTTAGTTCCAACAAAAAGGCAAATTTCTCCCAGTACTTGATCCAGGAGTTCCCTTGTTTTCTGTATTGTGTTCAAAATTACAAGGCTACGGAGTTGAACATTAGTAGTTGTTAACCCAATTTTGGGTCGGTTGCTCGACGACGGTTGTAAAAAATAACAAAGTGTTAAATTTAAAAATTACAAGCGATTTATGTTTTCACTGTGTTTCAAGTTGCTCACAGTTGACCGTAACGTATTCTTTTAAAGTCGACATGTGTCAACCCATTAACTTTATAACAATACGTTCAAAGGGAATTGAATTTTACTATTGACGAAAATCGTAAATCAAAACAGAGCAATCATACGAGGAAGCTATTATGTGATATATCATTTTCATTTCCTCGAGTCTTCGCGTTATTGATATCTCCAGCCATTATTTTTCAATTTGAGAGCCAATTTTATTTTATTCTTTCTCTTTGTTATATTTTTTTTAAAGGTCTCGAAGAAAATTGATGCGTCTCTCTCTCTCTTTTTTTTTCTTTTTTTGGCGAGAAAAACGAATGAAAGTTTAAATTATGTAGTGTAGTTTGGACGATTGTTTATTACTTTATGACGGAGGTTGTAGAGTATTTGATATTATTCAAAACTGGGAGAATATGTATACAATTTGATCTTATAATACTGTTTCGTAGAAATTTGGGTCCGTTAACGGACCCTTCACAAAATATCTTTTCATAAAAAACGGACCCTTCACAAAATAATTTATATTTTAATCGGGCCCTTCACAAATTTGTTTATCTTCATTATTGTTTTGTTAATCGAATAAACCCTTCCCGGGGGGCCGGGGGAGAGAAAAACGGTCCGAGACAAATTAAGTTTCCCCAAGTTTAAATTCCAAATGTAGTATTCTAAGAAAATATTTCTACTTTTACAAGCATCGCGTGCGCATTCTTTTTAATATTAAATCACAATTTTTTTTGTGAATAAATAATTAATCAATTTATATTTATTCATAAAATTAATTAATGGAATATTATGTAAATAAAAATTAATTTCTGGCAATTTTCTTTAAATAAAATATTATAAATTTAAGAATTGTTTAAGTTTACTTAATGCGCAACACATTAAAAGTGATACATTATTAAGTTGTGTTATACATCTTGTGCGCATTCTTATTAATATTAAATCATAATTTTTTTTCGTAAATAAATAATTGATCAATTTATATTTATTCAT